TACCTGAACATGAGACCTAAGTCTTCTACTACTGGTTATTTACTTCCATTGAGTCCATTAACCTGCCTGACCTCAATTTTTTCAGCCATAAACTGAAGACAGTAATAACAGTCATGACACAGAGTTGTTGTCTGAACAGATAATAAGCTCCAAGGGAAAGTGCTTTATAAACTATAAAGCATAATAGGAAAGAAGACTGCTATTAATTATTTTAGTAAGAGGTATTTAAATGTATAGTATACTTTGAAAGTAAAACGAAGAAAGTTCTGTTCTGTCTCTTTTTCCTTCCTCTGCATGAGCAATGTAAGTTAAACACTGCTTTGAAAATTCAGAAAACGTTTGATTTATATACTGATGCAGTCATCAAAAGAAGTATTAAGATTTTGGTTTATGATACAACTGTTTCAGTAAATGCTTATCTAATTAAAGTAAAATTGCAGGAACATTAAACCAAGATTTTTCCTTTTTTTTTTGACAGCTTCTTGCTCTGTTGCCCAGGTTAGAGTGCTGTCATGTGACCTTTGCTCACTGCAACCTCTGCCTCCTGGGCTCAAGCAATCCTCCCACCTCAGACTCATGAGTAGCTGGGACTACAGGCATCCACGACCATACCTGGCTATTATTATTCTTTTTTTTTACTTTCTGTAGAGACAGGGTCTTGCCATGTTGCCCAGGCTGGTCTCAAACTCCTAGGCTCAAGTGACCTGCCTGCCCCAACTGCCCTAACTACTGGGAATACAGGGGTGAGCCACCATGCCTTGCCTGGCTTTTGCTTTTTTTAAAAAAATACAACTATGCACAAGGATGAAATGAGCCTTAACCTTAGACTTCCTTTATATTTCCCAAGGAATATTCTCAAACAAAGCAGACTGGTTAAGTAACAGATTAATAGCCATGACCATAAAAAAATCAAAAACCCAGAGGATCAGCCTGTTGGAAAGTTAGCAAAGGAAGAAAAGCCTGTTATTACTGAAACAATGTCCTAACTTGCAGCAGAGACACATATAACAAATACTGCTATACTTACTCTTTCCACTGGTCCCTTCCTATAGAGCTGTGCTATGTTGCATCTCTGATAAAGGATTTTGAATTCAGTGAGTCCCTCCTAGACTGTCATTTTTTCTTCAATCACAGTGATTTTTGCTTAGATCATTTAGGGCAGTTTATGAATAAATTTGAAGATATGGTTCATGAAATTAATAAAATTAATTGAGCAGAATAAAATCCAAAAGTCAACATATTTTACTGGTCACTACAATTATGGCAGGCGTAAGTTTCAAGATACAACTAAGGAATACACACTAGTAAAAAAAATCTGATTTCATGAACCATATCTTCAGATTTATCTATAAACTGCCTGAAATGATCTAAGCAAAAATCACTGTGATTGAAGCAAAAATGACAGTCTAGGAGGGAATCACCAAATTCAAAATCCTATATCAGAGATGCAGTATAGCACAGCTCCCTAGGAAGGAACCAATGGGAAAAGTAAGCAAAACCATAACATTCAAATCGTTAAATTTAGAGGATTTTCCATAATTAAAACAGAAAGGAAAATGTCCACTATGCTCTACTAAGATCATCGGTCAACAGCTGTGGCTGTGGAAAATAGTGAGACAAAAAGATGATATCCAACTTCCTAATGCATATGGAGGTACTTGATGTTAATAAGAGCTGCTGCTTAGAAAATCAGCTGATGGCATTTAAGCGTGTGAGAGTATACAAAATATAAGTTGTCATTTCTTTTCATTACCTTATTTTTGATTCAAAAAATACGTCATGTTGCTGCTACAGCAAATTCAGCATTGTCTTAGGCATAGTGGAGAAAATAAGATATCACTTCCTCAAGAGAAAAGTAACAAAAAGAAACATTTATTAAGTTCCTATATGATGTCAGATATTACGCTAAGTATTTAGCTCTACGATGTGGTCACATTTATTACCTACATTTTACAGATATAGAACTTGGAGATTAATAAACTTGTCTAAAATCAAAGCTAATGATAAAAGTTTCAAAATTTTAATTCAAGCTATGGATCTCAGTGCTAAAAATGATTAAAAACTTGTTCATTTAAGATTCTTATTTTCTGATGTAGGAATTTATTCTTATAAATTTCCTTAATACTATTTTTGCTGCATCCCATGGGTTTTGGTAAATTCTGTTCTCATTTTTGTCTTGAGATACTTTGAATTTCCCTTTGATTTATTCGTTGACCCAAAGTTTGTTCAAAATTATACTGTTTAGTTTCTACATTCTTGTAAATTTTACCATTTTACTTATTTATTTTACTTATTGTTGTTGAATTCTTATCTCATTATATTGTGGTCAGAAACATCTAGAAATATTTTGACTTTCTAAAATGGTTAAGACTTGTTTGTGACCTAAAATTTGATTTATCCTAGAGAATATTTTGTATGCACTTGAGAAGAATGTGTATTCTACTGCTGCTGAGTGGAAAGTTCTATATATGTCTGTTAAACCCATTTACTCTACAGTGTTGTTCAAGTCAGCTGTTTCTTTATTGATTTTTCTGTCTGGATCTTCCATCCATTATTGTAATTGAGGTATTAAAGTTCACTACAAACAATAAACTAAGCCCAAAATAAACAGAAAAAAAAAGAGAATAATAAAGATTAGAGCAAAAAATTGTGAATAAGGAAACAGTTTAAAAATAAAAAAATCTAAGAGTTTGCTTTTTAAAAAGATAAAATAACCGAAAAACCCTTAGCTAGAGTAAGAAAAGAAAAAGAAGACAAAATCAGAAGTCAAAAAGGAGACATTATAATGGATGCCCAAGATATAAAATGAGTCATAAGGGAATTGTTACGAACAATTACATGCCAACAATCTGAATGGCTTTTAAGAAAGAAATAAATTCCTAAATACATACAACTTACCTAACCTAAATTAGGAAGAAACAAAAAGCCACAACAGACCAGTAACAAATCAGGGGATTGAGTCAGTAATCAAAAGTCTCCCAACAAATGATCTGATGACTACACAGGTGAATCCTACCAAATACTCAAAGAGGAAATAAGACCAATCTTTATTAAACTCTTCCTGAAAATAAAAAAGGGACCACCTCCAAACATATTTTATGAAGTCAGGATTATCCTGATACCACAACCAGGAAGACTCTACAAGAAATGAAAACTAGACCTTTCATTTCAAACTTGTGATGGTATAGATGGTTCTATAGATGAAGTATGTATTTCCTATGTCACTTCCCATTGTGTCAGCCATTGCTGAACAGTTGGTCAAGAGTTGAAGAACAAGTGAATGAATGGCTTTCTTGCAGGGGTAACTGTTGCAGTTGGAATCTGAGTTTGGGCAAAGCCTGCCACCATGGGCTAAATTATTCTGGGGTTTTAAATAAACATGAAAGGCGACCTGGATCACAAGGATTGCAATTCCTGCACAAGTCCTGGTGCTGTGCTGGGCTCGGAGCCAAGGAACTTGGAGCACATGAAACCTAGTGAGATACCAGCTGAGGCAACTAAGAAAGTGCTTGTGTCACCTCCTCCACCAACCCTAGGCAGCACAGCTTATACCTCCAAGACCCCTTCCATCTGCTTGAGGAAGGTGGAAGAAAGAGTAAAGAGGACTTTCATTCACAAGTTTATGTGTAGTTAATTCTACACATTCTCCTCCTTCAATTCCCAAGGCTATTCTGATGTAGGTGTAAGTCATAAAAACCTCCAATATATAAATGAAGGAAAGACTAGACTGGAAAAATATTTGCATCATCCAGTAACTCTGATGTGGAATATAAATGTCAGCATCTTCAAGGTTCCAAATTATATAAAGACTGCTTAAAGTAGTTTTTAAAAAGAAAGCAAAAATATATAAAGAAGTTTAATAAATATTAAGTATTTAAGGTATTTTGATGGTTTAGAAATGGACTTTATATCCCAGATGCAAATCTGATATTTAATTCCTGATTGACCATGTCAAAAAGAAAAAGATTTCCATTTTCCAGACAGAAAATTCAGTATCTTTCACAAATGCTAAAAGCTTAACCATAAAATTTTCTAAAATATTGATTAAATCATAACTTAATAGAGAAGAAAAGAACAGCTGTACATGCAACAAATTGGTTTATCAGTGAAAATTTTATCAAAATTTTGAAAACTCAGATGAAGCTCCACTGTACAAAAACACTAAATGTTAGATCATAACGCTGAGGCAAATATTTAACAATGATGTATCCAAACAAACAAGGTCCAATAACCTGCCATTTGGAGTTCCCCAGAAAAGGATCAGATAGCAAAGAAGGCAGAAATAATGTGAAAGAGAAACTCTCTACCATGTCTCAAGAGCCAAACAATGAAACAATTTCAGGTTATCTCAATGTCACTTGTTAAAAAAATTCCCTGAGCACATCTTTCTAACCCATGTTATGTTAAATAAGTAAGAAGAAAAACATAATAAAGCTTTATATAATGTGCTCCTTAGCCAATTCACCCACATCTTCAGAGTGTCCATGGGGCATTTGCCACTTATAAGGGAAAGACCAAAAGAAGAGAAAAATATTCTTCAACCTCAAGACATTTGCTAGTCAATGTCAGAAAAAGAGCAAATTCAATACAGTACAGACAATCCATCATGAGGAATTTAACACTCACAGAAGTTTTGGATTTTTAGTGGTTATTCTCAAAAGTTTTGAGACTTTTTGTACAATAGGAAGTAGAAACAGACAAGGGAAAACATAAGAAAAAAAGAATCCAAGGGTGCTGATAATACAGCAGAGAAAGTAATTAAAAGTAGAGAAGAACAAGATTGAAGCAAAGGCATTTTTTCAGAAAACTATGCTGTAGCAGTTAGAAGCCAGAAGTGGAAACATCATGACAAACAAGAGCTGTAGACAGCTGCAAAAAAAAAAAAAGATCCAATAAGGAACTCTTTGAGCCACAATGCTAAGACACAACAACATACATTACCCAAAGGGATGTTTAAATTACTAGCATCTTTATGAATAAAAGAGGGATTTATTACTTACCTGATTTATATGATTGTTTCCTAAAATAGCATGTAGTAGGGTTTTCTCAAATTCTTCCAACTTCTTTGAACACTTTTTAAGAATATGATTAGATAAGTTGTTGTCACTGATCAGACTAGCTAAAGTACCAACAGCTTCTGTCCAAAATCTTGAAAAAGGAAGTTTGGGATTATGGTAAAAAGTGATCAGGCCATCCAGCAACTGAAAAACAGAATCAGAGACTGTGGAATAGTCTTTTTCAAAGTGGGTTAAGTCTCTTTTAAGACTACCTGAGTCTGTCAAGTTCTTCAGTTCAAGTAGATATTGCAAGAATTGCATGTGAGAAGACAAAGGATTTTTCAGGATAGCACAAGGTTTTTTCACAAGAGGAAGTTGTGGAAAGTGAGTAGAGGTACAGCTTTCCAAAAAGTGCTGGGACAGGTTTGAAGGTTCAGTTCTCTGCTCACTTGACAAATCACACCCAGAATCTTCCATCAAAGTTAATGTACTTTCAGAACTCTTAGGTTCCTGAGCCTCCAACTGGGAAGACAGGTTTCCTGAAAAAGAAAGGAATGGGAGGATTACCTTCATGCAACTAAAATTTCTTCATGTAAAACCAGCCATTGATGTTTACCTTAAAATAAGAAATAAAGTAAATACGCATTAAACATTTAATAAGCAGTAGTGTAAAAACTGAGTAAAGAAAAAACTGTAAAAGAAATTGTATAGATTGTAGAATGAGATGGGTAGAAAATTCATTCATGTATTTTCAGGTCATTATCTCTCACTCAATTACAATGCCAAGCTTAAAAGACGCAAAAGAGAAAGCCACAAGACCTGAAGGAGATCACAGCCTGGTAGCTAATCCAATAGGTAACTACAAAGCAGTAGGGTGTACCCAGACATAGAGATTTGCTTAGGGAACTATAAAATCAGGGGGACCATTGAACAGCCCACCTTATTAGATTAGTATATCCTGGAAGAGGTCATGATGGAACTACTTATAAAGTAGCAGTTCAAAGCTAACGTTAGGGGAGAAGGCAAGAGAATTCCATACACCTAAGGGATAAGTGTAACAGCACAGATACAACAGGAAAAATAATAGCATTTGTGTATGTGAGGACCTGCAAGTAATCAGAGTCATTTCCACAGAAAGTATAAGGTAAGAGACTAAGATAAATAACGTAGAGCAGATCATTAAAGATAATATGAGACATACTAAGAACCTTACAATTAATCCTGTAAAGTGTAGAATGAATTTACAACTTCAATAGTGTAAGAACCCTTTGGAAAATGTATGCACATACACATGTATCTGATATACAAATATATACGATAATATCTACATATCTCTGTATATGTATATCATATATATGTGTGTATATATGTATATACATGTGTATGTACATATGTGTGTATATGTGGTATAGATCCATGAAACTATGTCTATAACCTCTAGAATGTCCTCATCTTGACTGAAAAAACACTGCATTTAGAGCTAAGTCTAATAACTTTAGGTCACTCTTTGATAGACATGCCATCATAAACACAAACAAAGTGGTGGTTGTTTTTAAAATGATTACTAGTAAAATGCACAAACCAAATTGAAAAGTTCTTACTGAATATTCTAAAGCACACATACATATCCTTGAAACTAAGTATGAGAAATACGGCTGTCAGCAATGGGAACAGGAATGAGGCACTGAAAATTGTAATGCAGAAAAATGAAATGATCTTATTTTAATTTCATCACTCTGTTGGTTATAGAAAGGGCTTATTTGAGGAGAACATAAAAAAACATTGAGAGATTAACTGAAAAGCACCTCTATAAGTCCCAACATTGGGTGAAGAGTGAAATGTATTAAGCAGCTGCAGTGGAAGAGAAAGAAAAAGATTTACTGGGAAAATAAACACAAAATATCAACATGTAATCTGGAGACCAGCTTACTGACTGAATATAAGCAATGAAGTGGAAGTAGGAATAAATGCATCCCATGGTTCTGACGTAGGTGACTAGGTAGATTATTGTGCTACCAACTGAAATAGTAAAATGATAGAAGAAGTGGCTTGGAAGAGACTATAAAAAGTCCAGGTTTAGTCATTTAAATTCTGAAGCAGCTGGAGAAAATCTAGAGATGATCCTCTAGATATTGGTCACATAAGCCTAAGACTGGGTAGAAGGTCTAGACTGAAAATGTATTTTAGGAGTCATCCGTGTGTAAGGTGGTATACTCTATAAAAATGGTTACAATCACTCAGAAACCATATGGGCAGTGAGTAAACAGAATCAGAAAAGGGACCCTGAATGGGATCAATATTTGAAGGCTAGATAGAGACATAACAGTCATTAAGAAAACAGTGAAGGAACAATTTAAAAGGTACAAGAGAAGACGACTGTGTCATACAAGTCAAGGAAATATTTTCAGGAAGAATTACACATATGAAGCAAAAAAGTCCACCAAAACAATGAGTTGAAAAAATATCTGTTGGAATTGCTAATTAAAACAAACAAAAAACACCAGTTACCTCATCCATAGCAGCTTTATCCTGTCAACTGGACAGGGTGGCAGGCAGAAACTTACTGCAATAGACTAAAGAGTAGATGAGAAGAAAGTCAGTGAAGACTGGAAGTCAGAAGAGAAAGTAGGCAAAAAACACTCTGAGAACTTAGATCAGGAAAGCATAAAATGGATAGCAACTGCAGACAAATGTGACATGACAAATTGAGTGAAACAAGCAAATATATTTTTTAAAAAGTGGATAAGCAAAGGTTGGAGATAATGAGAGAAAAGAATGGCAAGTGAGACATGGCCCTGGAGAAGGTTAAGAGACTGAGTCAAGGACCCCAGTAGATAGGCTGGGATCTGTAAAGCCAAAGTAAACACTTTTATCTAAGGCTGAAGGAAAGAGGATAAGAAAGTATAGGATTGTACAGAACTATAACTGGCATGTAGGAAGTTAAAGGAGATTTCACCCGACAGTCATATTTTCTTAAAGTTTGAGGAAGGGGGACAGTAGCTGAACAGTGCACAAGAATAACGGTAAATGTGACACCTTCTACATTATCCACCATATATTCATAAATCTATCTGATTCATTGCTCTGGTCCTTCAGAAAAATCAGAAGCTGATGAGGTAGAATTGGAGGATTGAGCTTTAACTTAGAGTGCATTCATTTAACAAGTATATACCATAACCATTAAAAATGTGCAGATAAGTGCTTGCTAATTATAACTACAACTTCTATATGCCATGCTTACAAGAATGATAATGCAGAAAGTTCAAAAAGTAGTAGTAACCAGAACAACGATCTAGCATTTCTATACTAAGACAGCCAGACTGATCATTTCAAGTGAATAGACACTGAAAATGACTTCTCAAGACATCAACTTCATTCTTCACATAAATAAAGGGAAATATAGACTACAGTATCAAGAAAATTATATTTTTCTTTCATGGAAGCTAAAATGGTTCAAAAAAAGAACAATTGCATTAACTTACTCAAATTTCCATAAAGGTAAGCTTAACTTCATGTGTAACGATTTCAAGAAAAACTCACAAAATGATACTTCAATGGATAAATCAGGAAGCAAAAGGGCGATTGCTAGTTTTTCTCTTTATTCCTCACTGCCATGCCTTTTGGCAAGCCACGTCCATTCCATCTTATCCCCTTCAGGCAGGACAAGTACAAATTTGAAGAGTACTTCTACCCATGTATGCTATGGGGACAGTAATATACAAAATTCACCACCATTCTTACTGACTACTTTATTTCTATACCATCAGAAAAATGTCATCAGAGCATATGTTAGAAATGCTAATATGGAAAAACAAAGAAGAATCTCTTTTGAGCGCTCTAAAGGATGCTTTAACACCGCCACAGAGGACTATGCTGGGAGTTTGCACAATATGGCTTCCAGTGTTAAAGTCCAAATATCAAATGGAAAAAAAGAATTTTATATTCATATTTTGTTACACAAACTAGTTCCATCAAATTATTCAACTGATAGTCACAAAAACCCTGAAAGATATGTTATTATTATCTCTCTTTTGCGAATTAGGAAATGAAAGCTCAACTTGATTAAGAGAACTGAGAAGAGCCACACAGTAAACAAGTGAAATCATTATATTCCAAGTCCAATCACCTTACAACAAAAGCAAAGAGGCCTGTGTGCCTCCATTCCAGCTTCTGTACGTTTCCATTACAGTGTTTATCGATTTCTACATGTTATCCACTTGTTTATTTGTTCCTTAAGACCAGAGGTCCTGTCTCTTGTCATCCTTATGATCCTTTCACTGAACAATAGAATCATCTGTAGCAGATACCTCATCAGGGGAAACGCTTAGAGCTGCAACTTGCTGCGGGATATGACAGGTCTTCTCTCATCTTTAATATTTATAATGAACCAGGATCAACTCCTTGGAAAATTACACCAAACCACAACAATTATATAGATAGCCTAGAAAGCTGATAGAGGGACAGAAATAGAAAGAGACAGAAGGAGAAGGGTGGGGATAGAGGAAGAGAGAGAGAGAGAAAGAAACCAAAAGAATATGGCTATTGCAATAATTCTTAAAAATCAGTTAACAAAAAGCCAATAATATGATTTTTCTTAGCATATACTATTAGTAACTTTTGTAACTCATGACCAATTTAATTCTGCTCCTATCTGTCCTCAATTATGAAAACTCTGATGATTACATATAGCATTTACACTGGAAACTAATTCCAACCATATTGGAAACCATTCATGCCCTAATAAGGTGAATAATAGTGGACAGCTGTGACTATAGTATATCTCCTTAGAAGAGAAACAACACAAATAGAAAAGAAAAGCTTTCTTAGAAAAAATTAAACATTTTCAATATAGTATTAATGAGTTACAATATCTGGTAATAGTCATAAACCCTGCTTGAGTAATATACAACATGGACACAGACTAATAATATATCCCTGCCCTTTAAATGGATCTTTTATAACTACAATCAGATTTTATTCATTTGCTCGTACGACTGAGTTAGACCTCAAAGCATCTCTAACTAAGCATCTTAACCAAGGGAAAGAAATGATAATGAAATCACACTGGTGCAACTTTCTGTAATTCCTGTTTTTCCAGGAAAGACTAAGGTAGAGCAAAAGTCAAATAAGGTTTCTCTCTTCATTTCTCATTGGGCAGATGAGCTTGAGGTAATCACCCTCCCGTTTATTGCACATGACCTATTTGTCATTAGATTTAATAGAGGTAAAATACACACACACACACACACACACACACACACACACACAGAGCTCACTCCAGCACAGTTTGACATATATTATTTCCTATTTTATGTTATTACATAATTATGGATCTCAGAAATCTAAATAATGCGAATGTATGCAATCAGAAACAAAAGTACATGAAATAAGGTATCAATTAAAAGTTATAATAAATGCCCAGCACTTTGGGAGGCCAAAGTGAGCAGATCACAAGGTCAGGAGTTCAAGACCAGCCTGGCCAACATAGTGAAACCCCGTCTCTACTAAAAATACAAAAATTAGCCAGGTGTGGTGGCAT